GAGGCCGAGGCCGAGGAGTGGGAGGCCGAGTCGGTGCTGGGCACCCTGCTGCAGAAGCTGCGAGAGGAAGGCTACCTGGCCTACTACCTTCAGGGTAGGTGCCGCGGGGCCCTCCTTCCAGGGCGTTTGGGATTCATTTGACCTTAGGCCAGCCCCACTTCTTTTTTTCCAAAGCGAGTTGAGGCCCCCCTCCTCTGATGACCTGCCAGGCTGCTTTGAGATGAGGGAAGCCTGAGTGTGACCGTGGGCAAGTTCTTTACCCTCGGCAGCCCAGTCTCTGAGCCTGGAAAATGGGGAGAATTGGCCTGACCTGAGCTAGTTCTCAGGATGCTCAAGAGCGAAGTAGAAAGTGTGGGCTCCCCAGGGTCTCGGCAAGGGTATCGCCACCCCTCCCACCTGCTCAGCAAATGAGCAAGGGAGGCAGGGGTCAGACAGCATTGGTGCAATCACGGCTCACTGAAGCCTCCTGGGCTCAAGCGATCCTCCCACCTTAGCCTCCTGAACAGCATATAAAGTGTCAGGTTTCCAGCCCAGGGAGATAGTATCTGTAAATAGAGATGCTGGCTTCTTGAGACTTTAGAACCATTCTGGTGGAATGTCACATTCTCCCCCAAGTTCCCCACATCTTGGGGTCCCACTTCATCCCTGAGGGTCAGGATATGCCCAGGCAGAGAACTTCCTTTTCTTTAACTGATGGCCACAGTCCTCCCTAAGGCTGGCAGTATATCTCAGCTCTGTTGAGCCCTCACACCTGCCTCAGCTTGACCCTAGGGGTGTAAGATCCTCTCCGGTGGTTCAGCGTGAGCCCAGCTTCTTGCAGCCCCAGCAGCTGCAGTGGGCACTTGCTGTCCAGAGCAGTGGCCGAGAGTGCTGAGTGAGGGTGGCTAGGGTTCCACGTGGCACCAGGACACACCAAGCTGCTGGATTTTGTGTTCCTTTTAGGAACATTTGCAAACCCTCCAAGTTGTCTAGGGTCAGCTCCCCAGCCCCAGACAGAGGTACTTGGCTGCCCAGGAGGCCAGGTCAGCAGACCCCATGCCCTCTTCCCCACAGGTGGCTTCAGCAGATTCCAGGCCGAGTGCCCTCACCTGTGTGAGACCAGCCTTAGTGGCCGTGCCGGCTCCAGCATGGCCCCGGTGCCCAGTACGGTGCCTGTAGTGGGGTTGGGCAGTCTGTGCCTGGGCTCCGACTGCTCTGATGCGGAATCCGAGGCTGACCGCGACTCCATGAGCTGTGGCCTGGATTCGGAGGGTGCCACACCCCCGCCAGTGGGGCTGCGGGCATCCTTCCCTGTCCAGATCCTGCCCAACCTCTATCTGGGCAGTGCCCGGGATTCCGCCAACTTGGAGAGCCTGGCCAAACTGGGCATCCGCTACATCCTCAATGTCACCCCCAACCTCCCAAACTTCTTCGAGAAGAATGGCGACTTTCACTACAAGCAGATCCCCATCTCCGACCACTGGAGCCAGAACCTGTCGCAGTTCTTCCCGGAGGCTATTGAGTTCATCGGTGAGTCCGCCCCACCCGCCCTCCCCAAGACCTGCTCTGGCCTCCCCCTTGTGAGCACTCCTCCCAAGCCCAGCTGCCATTCCCAGAGCCAAAAGCCAGGGTGGCACTTCTAGGGGACAGGCAGAGCTAGGGCGGCCCCCAGAGGCCACCAGCGAAAACTCCAGGCCGTGGCCATCTGGCTCAGGGGGCAGGGCGGGGTCTTCAAGGGCCCTTCGGTAGGCATCGGCCTCACACACGCTTGCCCTCGGGGTCTCCCGGGCCCTGTCCTGCCCCATCTAGATGAGGCCTTGTCCCAGAACTGCGGGGTGCTCGTCCACTGCCTGGCGGGGGTCAGCCGTTCTGTCACCGTCACTGTGGCCTACCTCATGCAGAAGCTCCACCTCTCTCTCAACGATGCCTATGACCTGGTCAAGAGAAAGAAGTCTAACATCTCCCCCAACTTCAACTTCATGGGGCAGTTGCTGGACTTTGAGCGCAGCCTGCGGCTGGAGGAGCGCCGCTCACAGGAGCAGGGCAGTGGGGGGCAGGCATCCATGGCCTCTGACCCGCCCTCCTTCTTCACCACCCCCACCAGTGATGGCGCCTTCGAGCTGGCCCCCACCTAGGGCCCAGTGGCCGGCGGGCCGGCCCCTGCCCCACCCCCACCCACGGGTGTCCCTGCCCACTCGTGCGGCAAGGGAGGGGAGGGCGGGAGGGCTTGGCCTGAGCAGGGTGCTGGGGGGAGAGCGCAATACCTCACGCGGGCTGGCGTCCTAATCAACGTGCCTACGGCAGGGCTGCTCTGAGCCTGCCTCTTCTGCGACTGTTACTTTTTGCTTTGCGGGATGGGGGTGGGGGTTCCCTCTCCAGGTGGTTGTCCAGGCCCCCGCTCCGGCCCTGGGTGCTCGGCCAGCTCGGCTGGGCCCTGCACCTCCCTGCGCTTCCTCCTTCAGGAAGGGTGTGTGCCACCTTGTTGCCACAGGGACTGGCTCCCAGTCCCTCCCCTGTCCCCAAATGGTTGCTTGGGGGAGAGGAGTTTGCCATCACTGGTGTTGTCACCTCCCTGTTTCTCCACCAAGGCCTTGGGCCTCTCGGGGCTGGGGCCTCCCAGGGAATGGGGACCCAGAGGTGCAGTGGCTGCCTACATCCATGGCCTAGGAGCAACTGGGCAGGTTCCCGGCCACACATCTGGTGGGCTTTTTTTTTTTCCCTCTTCCCCCAGATGTCTTGACGGGATCACTGGGGCTCTTTGTGAGTGAGGGTGGTCAAACTGCTGCCCGAGGAGATGGGGTCTCAGAGCGAGAGCTGGGGAGGGGGAGGGGAAGAAGAAGGCCTCACTTTTGCTGCTGCGGGGCCCACACAGCCGCTGCTACTTTGGGGGCTGGGGAAGGGGCCAAGCTGCAGACACACACAGTCATTCATTTCTGTCCACACCCCTGTGGGTGGCGGGTGTGCGTGTGTGTGCGCGCGTGTCGGCACTCACACACACATGCTAGCCCACTGATTCACCCAGCCCAGGGCTGGCAGTCTTTGCGGCACGGGGCCATCTCACCCTGGAGCCTGGAGAGGAGCTATGCTTATTTGTTTTTGTAATCCATATCACAGTTGCTTTCTTTAATTATTCCTTCTGAATAAACAGTTTATTTAAGATACTGAGTAGAGAGGCAAGCTACCTCCTGAGCACCTTGGAGGGTTTGGGGGAAGGTGGGGAAGGAGGCCCTCTTGGTCTCTCTGGACTGCCCATGGTGGAAAGGGGGGTGTGTCGGGCTGGCCAGGGACTCAAGCACCACCCCACTCCCCGCCCCATGTTATCATTTCCCATATTGTGCTTACACTGCCCGCTGGCCCAAGCTCTGAGTTGCACATTCATTCACCTCCATTTGAACCCCTAGTCTGTGCCACACACTGTCAGGGGACTGGGTTGCAGCAGTGAGCTCTGCCTGCTCAGAGCAGACTTTCTAGTGGGGGAAGAAATGATAAATGCAACAGTCACAGCACTGCAGTTATGCCATAGATGTCCACTGCCATGGACAGAGCAGAAAAGCGAGGACCCAGCACTCACAAGTGATCCCTGAGACACTGGCCAAGTCAGCCCAGAGCCCTGCCTGGAACCTGAGGGCTGCCACGGCTGGGTGGCATCCTGAGAGTGACAGGGAGGGGTGTGGGCAGACTGGCACATGTGAGTGTTGTGGTTCTCTGGCTGTGGAATTTGGGCTGCAAAGCCCAGGCTGGGGACTAGAAGAACCCCATGGAGAACATGGAGACCAACAGGCCACCTAAAGGGACAGAGGTGAACTGCACCTCTCCTCGTCTTGGGACACTGCCAATGCCTTCTCCACACCGTAGCTTCCGGGGTCTATAAAGCTGTGACTCTCCACCATGGAGATGTAGCAGAGGGAAAGGGCAGCTGGAGGGTGGCGGGGAGCAAGCGCAGCCCGAGAAAGCTGCGGAGACTTTGGGAGCAATGTGGCCCAGAACCCACAAGATGTTGGGGGCAATCTAAAGGCATTTGTGTGAATGGCTGAGCTAGTAGGAAAGGAAGAGCAAGGTGATGAGGTGAGAAATGATGCGAATCCTCTGGGCCAGTGGAGTAAGCCACCCTGGGACTAGCCCAGGAGCCAGGACCCTCCATGGGAACGCAACCCCACCAACACCTTGATTTCAGTCCACTGAAATCTATTTTGGATGGCTGATCTTCTGAAATGGAAGATATGAAATCTGTGTTACTGTAAGCCACCAACTCTGTGGTAATTTATTACAGCAGCCACAGAAAACTACTAGAACAGGTGACCTAGGAAGATACATCCCAAAGAAAGAAGAGGGTGTGTGCTGATCTTGACCTTGGATCTGGGGGGAAGTGGAATAAAAGGAAAATGTTCCCCCTCCCCTGAGAGCTTATAGCCACAAGCTGAACTGTTCTTTTAGAGTGGTCTCAGCATAGAGTAGTGGACACTCCAGAATCTCTCTCGGAGGCACTTAGAAACAGTGATCCAGCCAGGCACCGTGGCTCACACCCATAATCCCAGTACTTTGGGAGGCCAAAGCAGGAGGATCACCTGAGGTGGGGAGTTCAATACCAGCCCGGCCAACATGGGGAAACCCTGTCTCTACTGAAAATACAAAAAAAAAAAAAAAAAAAAAAAAAAAAAAAAACTGAGCTGGGCATGGTGGCACATGCCTGTCCAAGCTACTTGGGAAGTTGAGGCACGAGAATCACTTGAACCCGGGAGGCAGAGGTTACAGTGAGCTGGGACTGCGCCACTGCACTCCAGCCTGGGTAACAGAGTGAGAGAATGATGAGAGAATGAGAGTGAGGCCCTGTCTCAAAACAAAGAAACAAAACAAAACAAAAACAGTGATCTGGCCGGGCGCGGTGGCTCAAGCCTGTAATCCCAGCACTTTGGGAGGCCGAGACGGGCGGATCACGAGGTCAGGAGATCGAGACCATCCGGGCTAACACGGTGAAACCCCGTCTCTACTAAAAATACAAAAAATTAGCCGGGCGTGGTGGTGGGCACCTGTAGTCCCAGCTACTCGGGAGGCTGAGGCAGGAGAATGGCGTAAACCCGGGAGGCGGAGCTTGCAGTGAGCTGAGATCCGGCCACTGTACTCCAGCCTCCAGCCTGGGTGACAGAGCAAGACTCCGTCTCAAAAAAAAAACAAAAAAACAAAAAAACAAAAAAAAAACAGTGATCTGGCTGCTGGAGAAGGCTCCTGGATTTGTCTCGAAGCTGTATTTGACTATCTTACATACAGTTTTCCCTAAATTGTGACAGCCCAATAAAAAATAGCAGTTTAAAACATTAATAAAATACATTTTTAAAGTTTTTTATTTTAGAAACAAGGTCTCAATATAGAACTTAAATAGGCCAGGTGCAATGCCTCAGCCTCCCAAAGTGCTGAGATTACAGGCATGAGCCACCACACCTGGCCTATTTAAGTTTTAAATGAAATGGTTCAGAAGTCACATTGCTCCAGAGTGACCAGCAGAAGCAAGCACAAATCCTCTGTGGAGGGAGGGATGTCCTTTAAACACAGGCCTCAAAGTACTCCTATAGAAAATTCCAAAATACGTATTTTTTTTAAATCCTAAAATGTACAAGGAAACAAGCCACCATGAGTTATAGAAACATTTAACATGTGAATTCAAGTATCAGTCCTGCAAAGATAGCAGCTTTTGAAATCATATGACAAAGGCTATAAGTATAATTAATATGCTTAAAGAAATAAAAGGAAGTATTGAAACTGTAACAAAAAAGCAAGAGAATATAAAATGACTAGATACACTTGAAAGAAAACCAAAAAGAGCTCCTAGAAATGAAAAATATGACAATCGAAATTGGACATTTAAAGTTTAAACAGCATATTAAACATAGCTGAAGAAAGAAATAGTGAACTGGAAGATGGATTTAAGGAAATTACCCAGAATGCAGCACAGAGAGACAATAAGATAGACAGGTCACATATATATTTAGTTGGATTTCTAGAAGACAAAAAGGAGAATAGGGAATATAAAATATTTTAATAAACAATGCCTGAGAATTTTCCAAAACTGATGAAAGACACTGTGGAAGAGACTACTAAGTGTCCCCCAGTATCCATTCTCTGCTTCTCCTTTTTAGAAGTAAAATGTCCAAAGGTTAATAGTGTATATGGCTTCACAGCTAGAAACTTTATTTCCCATCCTCCCTTGCAGCTAATTGTGGCCATGTTTTTGCATATTGTCTCCTATTTCCATTACAGCCCTTAGCATTTTAATCATAGTTATTTTAAACTTCTGGTCTGATCGTTCCAACACCCCTGTCATAGCTGAGCCTGCTTCTGGTACTGGCTCTATCTTTTTGAACTGTGTTTTTTGGCCTTTAGCATGCTTTGTCTTTTTCTTTTCTTTTTTTTTTTTTTGGTCAAAACCTGGACATGTACTGGGTAAAAGGACCTGCTACGAATAGGCCGTATCGATATAGCAGAATGTGGAGGGAGGAAAAGCGTTCAGTCCTGTGATTAGGTTTCTGTCTTTGGGCGTGCCTGTGCCTCTGGACTGTGAATTTCACCAGTGCTTCTCAGATTGTGCCCTGCTTAGATGGGCCAGAATGGCTACAAAAGACTGAGTTGGGTATTTTGCTTCCCTCAGTTCAGTTAGGCTCAGGCAAAACCCTAATAGGTTGGGCCTGGTAAGGGTTACTCTTGAGGGCAGGCCTAGTTAAGAACAGAATGCCCTGGGCCTCTTTCAAAATGACCACTTTCCCCTCCCCTTGCCAGAAGTATGATGAGATTTTTCTCCTGAACCAGGAGGTCGAGGCTGCAGTGAGCCATGATTGTGCCAGCAGTATGATCGGTGGAAATGACTTCTTGGAGGCAGGCTGGCAGGGAAGATTTTTTCCATTTAAAAATATATATTCTACTTAAAAATGTTAAGTCTGGTTTCCTAGGGGCTACCCTGTATCTGCCTAGCTTGGTGGTCAGCCAATGATTGGACAGAAGCTGTGCTCAAACATCTCAAGCCAGTAAGGCTTGTGTCCTTTGTAGATGGGTCTGGGTGTGGGTAGGGGAGCTTATTCAATGTTCAGGCTACTTTCAGGTCTTCTGGGCTTTCCTTTCCACCGGGCCCTCTCACATCTTTTATATACATGTGCATAGTCCCAGGGCAGTCCAGGAGAATGTGAGTAGTGTGGGACCCCTCCAGTCTCTGGTCGGCTAGAAATATACTGCCACAAGCACATCCATAGCCTCAGTTGAGTAGAGCTGATCTGTTTGCCCTTCCCAGCCTGCCCACCTCCAAGAAGTCACTTCCACCGATGACACCACTGGGCACAGGTGTTGCCCACCAATCCAAATGAGCGAGCGCCCTTCAAGCCTATGGGGAGAAGCTGCTGGGCTTCATGGCCTTCCCTGCCTTGGCGCAGCCTCCATGCCCAGCAAGCCAGGAGGGATGGGAGCAGCCCTGGGCCAGAATGCCATAGACTCCCGCTGTTCTTACTCAAAATCCAGCCGCTTGGATTATGAGACATCTTCGTTGGCTTCCAGATCAAAAAGCTTGTTTTTGTCAATTTGGTCCAGCTTTATGGTTACTTTCTTGGGGAGGTTGTTTGCTGATATCCACATTTGGCCACAGCTGGAGGTCCTGCCCTTTCTTTTTCTTTTCTTCTCTCTCTCTCTATTTTTTTTTTTTTCCAGACAGGGTCTCACTCAGTCAACCCAGGCTGGAGTACAGTGGCAAAATCACAGCTCACAACAGCCTCAACCTCCCGGTTCAAGTGATCCTCCTGCCTCAGTCTCCCAAGTAGTTGGGACCACAGGTTCGCACCACCACGCCCAACTAATTTTTTTTATTTTTTTGTGGAGATGGGGGTCTCACTATGTTGCCTAAACTGGTCTCAAACTCCTGGGCTCAAGTGATCTTCCCCCTTTGGCCTCCCCAAGTGCTGGGATTTCAGGCATGAGCCACCACTGTGCCCAGCCAGTCCTGCCCTTTCAGCCTTTTTCAGCCCTATTCTTTTAGATGTATCTCTTACAAACAGCTTATAGCTGGATTTTTTTTTTTAATCCTAACTGGATAATTTAATCTATTTATTTTGCTTAATGCTTTTTGGATCTATTTTTAACATATTATGTTATACTTTCTACTTATTCCAATGTTTCCGTTTCTTTTTTTTTTT